TTGTTGTTGTTGTWGTTGTWGTTGTTGTTTGTGAGATAACATAATTTATATACATATATAAATAAAGTGGTAGTTTGAAAGAAAGAAGAAGAACTCTTGAGCAATTACTTTGTGGTGGAAATTTCCATTTTGTTGGTTTTGTCAAATTTCAACACTGAAAGGAAGTGATAATATAATAGTTCTATTAGTGATGGAAGATAATAGAATATCTTTTGTCATCGATATGATGATGAATGGATGGAGTGATCTAACAGAGGATAACAACAACAACAACAACAACAACAACAACAGTAATACAATTGCACAACAACAACAACAAACTCCAAGAACAACAGCCTCTATAGTTATCGAATCACTCATTGAGTACAGTCGCGTTTCTTATGACCTCTTCTACGATTCTACCACCATATCTATCTTTTCTACATATCCATACGTGTCAAGACTCAACTATCGCACAAAACAAGAGCAAACACTCTACTTTGTAAGACAACACCTCCACTTACTTCCTAGTGATCATTGAGTCTCAACACTAACATTTACGATTGTACATAGCTACTACAATCTATATCCAACGTCAACCTCACAATGATTGAACGTCCAGCAACAAAACCGATTGAATTTAGTGTCATTCTGATGCAGGCACTTGAATCACTTATTGAGAATGTCGAAACAGAAGAGACTCTACCAAGTAAACACTCAGAGCCACAACAACAACAGTACAACTCGGTCATTCTGTTGCTTCCCTATCAAGAAAATGTGGATATCTCATTGTTCAAACAAGGCGACAGAGTTATAGACATTGGCCAAGAGACCCAAAAGTTAATCGACCAGCTTCGAATCACAGACCGTGGCCAACAATTATACAAGTGCGAGCTGTTTGTCGTGCGACTCCAAACACAACAGGAAACTACCGAAACATCCTTCATACACCACAAGGTCTCCAACCAACTGGACATGTTTGTGCGAGTCTTACCAATCAACTCCCTTTTTGCATTTGTATCAGAGCTCTCCATTGCCCAGTTCGATCTTTCCTCAATTAGTGTTACTGGAATTCCCATGAAGGATGGGTCCCAGAACTCTGCGCGCGTAATATACGACGTTGTTCTCCTCTACAAGGATATGAACAGGTGGGCCCAACATTCAAGAAACAATGAATCCAGTATCTCGAGGTACGGAAAGATTCCCAGCAGCAACTTTGTGACAAATCAGATGCCTGACGAATGCAAGATCGTCAAGTGGCGCACCAATGACAAGAAAATTCCATTGGAGTCAATGTCATGCAGGAACTCTCATCGGGTGACACCACTTGTGGTCACGAGCAATCCAAGTGTATGTCTGATGAAACACATTTGCGCAGGCAAGACAGTGTTCTTGGTGACACCACCCGACGACGACATGTTCACCCACGTTCTTCAGTTGCACGACAATGAGGTTCGGCTACACTCAATGTACTCCCCGATGGACATCACCAACCTGGTCCCCATTCTCGAGTGCTATATATCCGATGTGTCCAAATATCGACTCTCCGACTTCTCCACAATGCTAGATGCCTCGATGTTGCAGCCCAGGCTTGCATCGACTCAGACCCCATCGACCTTCATTACAACAACCATCCCCAACCCGTTCTACCAGGCACAGGGCGAGGATGATCAACCCCAGACCACTTCCTTTCAAGTCAAGACACCACGTGCCATAGAGAAGTTTACACGCTACTTTCCTTGGGTGAAGGCCGACACGATCTTCTTTGCTGAGGAACAGAACGATGAAATCAAAGAGATCCTAGACACCATCAAGCATCTACTGTTACGCGACACTCTGCAGGATGAGATCAAAGAGGAGGTGTCCAAGAAGATTATCCATTTGTACACACTGTCCAACACCAATGACCCCACTCTCTTCCCTGGAGTCAAGAACAACGCGCCCATCAGGAAGGAGTTGTACAAGAAGCTCTGGATTGAGTTTTATACGTTCGCCAAGCAATGCCAACAAACAAAGAGTCATGTGGAGATATTTCAAGGAGTTGAGAAAATGTATTATAGCATCCTATCAATTGCTCCACCCCTGCAACAGCAACAACCATCAACTCCGCCACCGTCAGCACCGCAACAACAAGGCAAACGTATTTCATCACCTCCATCCAACCAACAACAACAAGGACAACTTTATCAAACACTTCAACTACAGCAACAACAAGCACAGTCGCAACAACAACAGCAATTGCACCAGGCACAAACTGGTCAAATGGCTAGTAGTGATTCAATGTTGTGGCAACAGTTTGACAGACAGAAGAAACAGCAAAAAGAGGACGAACTGAAGCAGGAGCGCGATAGACAGATGAAGTTAACCAATCCTTCATCTATGATGGCCACCCGCGATTCGGCATCAGAGTTTGTAGATCGCAAACGTAAGCACATGGATGTGTCGACTCCGCCACCAAAGGCCAATAACTTCTTCAACAACTACTGGGATCAAAAGGCACAAAAGACTCAATCGATTGAGCTGGACGGATGAAGTCTACAATCAATGTAATGAACTGAACTTTATTACCAAACTGCCTGGTGACGACGTATTATTACAACTTTGGTGAACTTCTATCCTTTGTCTTGGTTTTCTTTAGTGAACCTGACCTAAATGATTCGATAGATGTCAGAAGGCCACGACGATCACCTCCGCCACTGGAGGATGCAGCAGGAGGAGGAGGTGGTGGAGGAGGTGCAGAGGAAGATGCTGGTGGTGCAGGAGGAGGAGGTGGTGGTTTCGGTGCTGCAGGTGGTGCTGGCGGCGCTGATTGAACAACACTTGTTGGTGATGTTGAAGCTGCCAGATTGTTGGAAGAATTGGTCTTTTGTACTTGATTGTTTAGTGAAGTGGTGCTGTAGGATGATGCCAACGAGGAGCTTGAGCTATATGAAGAGAAGGAAGTAGGAATGCTGGAAGATGTTGTTGGGTTCAGTGTGACCTCCATCGGTACAAAGGTCAAAGTCTTTCTCTTCTTTTGTTTCTTCAACTTCTTCAGCTTGGGAATGTCATCGACCTTCTGTTGAGTGATGTACGCTCTGTTCAGTTTGCTTGCTGCGTCAATCATCTCTCTCTCTTTGGTGGAGAATGTCACTCTTTGGATTGGTAGATTCTTGAACTTCCACTCAGAGAAGAAGTTGAGCTTGGTCAACTCCTCAAGGGTGGGTGCAACGCCATACATTGGCCTAAAGATGGACTCGAGAATCTTCTTGACCTCTGGATGGCAGTGGCCTGGCAATCCGAGCTCAATAGAATCTGGTGACTCCATTTCATAGCCACATCCCATCTCGTAGAGAATACATCCAAAGCAGAGAACCTCTGGGTCCATCTTGTCAGAGAAAGTAGAAAGGAACTTTGATAGTCTTGGTCGAAGTCCGAGGAATGCATTCTCATAATCGCTTATCCTATGTTGATTGATGAACCCATAATAAGTGTTAGTACTACTACTTAACAACATGAGTGATGTAGTGATCAGTCACATACAGACAAGTGTTATCATCCATCAAGATATTGGATGCATTCAAATGAAAGTATGGCATATTGTGATACTTCAAGAAGAGGAGAGCCTCAAGGATCTGTCTTCCGAATCTTGATATCAACTTGTCGTTCAGTTGATACTGTTGCTGGTATTTCTCAGAGTACTTTGATTTGGGCTTTGCCTGGTGGATGTAGTCGCGGAGAGAACCACGTGCATAGAAAGGTCTGATTGAGACCGAGACCATCTTGTCTGGTAGGAAGTCCACAAGATGCGGTGTGCTGATGAATGGGTGGAGCTCCATTGATTTGATAATTGTTCGATAGGTTTGTCTGCCATTCTCTGTGTATAGGGGCAGGGGCCAGTTCTTTGAAATGGGCACCATTGAGAGGACCCTGTCATTCTCTGCTCGATTTGGTGAGTTTCCAATGACTGAGAAGTAGTTCTTGTCTGTTCTAGATCCGATCAAAGGGAGATGTCTGTCCAATGTGTACATAGTAGATCTTAAATAGAATCTGGCATTCATCATGATTGTATCCTCTGTTATAGTGTGTATGTAAGTCAGTCTGATGTGATTACTGCTTAAGATCACGGGTCCTACCTTTGATTTGTTGTGAATTGTCTCTCTCGTAGACAAATACATTTCCTTTCTCCAGTGGCTCATATTCTTGTGATCTCCTATAGGATTGATGGTCGTGAGGCGATAATGTTAACATCTCTCTTCGGTTTGTTCAAAAGGTTTGTCACTTACACTGAACGTGCCACACAATAAGCAATGACTACGGCCAATAATATGATGAATAGGCCTCCAATCGCACCGATTAGGATGATCATCCACTCCTCCATTTTTGATTACTCTACAGTTAGTACTTATACAACTTTTCAACACTATCAAAATGAACAATGATTTCACATTAGCAACACAAGTTGTTGAGGACTGTAAAGTATTCTGTGAGTGGGGGTGAGAGAAAAAGGAATCAACCTTTCAAAATAAATAAAATATCGATTTTCTCAAAGAATGATCTCGTTTACTAATGATAAAGAGATAAGTGATGATGGTCTCAAAATCGGTGAGACAACCACCTAGATGGTTGTTTGGACCTTGTCCAAAGTCAGGTTAGTCATTGTAACTTCTTAGTCGCAACAGGTGACTTTGGGCTTGTATGAACGAAATCTTCCCACCAAGATATTGCCAACGATTGTTCCTGCAATGACACTAAAGAACAGAGCAACGTTGAATGTCATTGCAACAAGCATCAATAGATAACTCATTGTCAGTTCAACTCCTGTCAAGAATCCTCTCTTTGTTTATGCAATTTTGAAAGTCAGTACATTTGGCAGCGTTGTCTCCTCACATACACACAACACTATGAACACTTACGACAACGTCCACCTTGATATTGAATGGAGGGAAAGAACCTCTGATACCACCCAAGCTTGATACTTCCTCACCATTGATCTCAAGGTTCTTCTGGCGGACTGCTTCCCATTTCTTCTCAAGCATTGCTCTGAGCGTCTTTTCACATTCAAAGAGTATGGCAAAGAAGAAGACCAAGAACCAGTAGCCAGTGTACTGGCCATTGTTCTGTGGTACCCAGTCCTTGAATAGGACATAGTCGAGAATTCCAGTGTGGAAGTACATTCGCATGAGTGGCACTTTCTGGCCTTCCGGTTGAGAACAGTATGTGCTTGAGAGTGGGGACTTCTCCAATGCGGTGCCTTGTGCACAGAATGTCTTCCATTGCTGGCACTGTCCCATCGTTGGCATTTGCTGGCACAACTGACTGTACACGAGAAGTAGATCACAGTCGAGATAGGTGCCAGGCGGGGTCGTCTGCCATGGGCACTTGCTACAGGACTCCATGTTCATCTCGTGGCAGATGTTATAGACCATTAGATTGAGCTGCTTGGTACTAATGAGGTTAGGGATGGCCTGATATGTCTTGCACTCGGCAACGGTAGAGTTTGCAACGCCACACATTGACTTGTAGTTGCTGCAACCAGACATGCCTGGCATGTCGAACTGGCAACCGTCGGCCAGCACGCTAAGTGGTTGGCAAACACCAGAATTAATGGCCTTTTGCGAACAAGTGTTGTTGATGGAGCAGACGGCCATATAGGGCATTCCACCGTCTGGGTCGCAAAGGTTATCAATATCCTGAGAGACGTTCACAGCAGGATACACAAAGTCTGTGCATCCTGTGGCCCAAGGAGTCTGCACACAAGTTGATTGTTGAGCATTGACAACTGCTGTGCTAAAGGTCAAAGACAAAACAAGAAGAGTTGACAGTGTAAGCAACAGTTTGTAAACTGTTGAGCTTGTTGATGACATTGTACTACTGCTGTGTTGTCACTGATGTCGTCACTAGACTAGAGTATAGAAATGGATATGTGTAAGTTATATATATAAATATAAGAAGGAGGAGGAAGAGGAGGAGGAAGGAGGAGGAAGGAGGAGGAAAAGAAGGAGGGGAAGAAGAGGTACACTACATATATATATTTGAAAACACCAATGACAACGGCAGATAATAACTTAAGTGATGGTGAACAACTTTAGAAGTATGGTGTGTTGGTTGGTGTAAGAGAGTGGGGAGAGTTGGAATCATCGAACTAAAAAATAAAATAAAATTATTCAATAATTCATTCACACACACACACACACACACCCCCCCCCCCCCCCCCACGCGTTGATAAAGATTGTTTCCWTTWTTGATTACTCGGAGAAGTAAGGCGTCTCTTT